AGTTTCTTGTTGTGAAAAGATGCTATGTAAACCAAGAAAAAAGAAGCAAAATATAAGCCCCGCCCACCCGCCCTATCTCAATTGTGATGATTTTTTTTATTCGTTGTGAGGTAAGAAGGCGGAGCTTAACTGCAAAATCCTTATTTCTCTACGAGAAATTAAAAACGTGTTTTTGAGTATCGTGTTATTCAAAGAATACTACGTGTATTAAGAAAAAATTAAAGTCAAAATTAAGCCCCACCCACACCTGCCCTCATCCAAATAGTAATGAAGTTTTCATTCGTTGGCAGACCTAGGGGTGGAGCCTAATTGCAAAATCCATATTTCCATTTTGAACGTGTTTCAAGTTTCTAAGAATAAAAAAAACATCACAATAGAGATTGGGTGGGTGGGCGGGGTTTATATTTTGGCGTTTTTTCTTAATATACAGAATATTCTTTGAACAACACGATACTCTAAATCATGTTTTTAATTTCTTGTAAAGAGATAAATATTTTGCAGTTAATCTCCGCCCCCTTGGTTCACAGCGAATAAAAAAAGATCATCACAATGGAGACAGGGTGGGTGGGCGGGCTTACATTTTGTCTTTTTGTTTTAATATATGTAGACTTCTTTCTACAACATGAAACTTAAAACATTTTAAAATTTGTATGACGAAATATCGATTTTACAATTAGCCTCGGCCCCATAATTGCAAAATCCATATTTCCTTGCAAAAAAATACCATTTTAACCATGTTTTAAGTTTTTTGTTATGAAAAGATGACTATATATATATATATATTAAGAAAAAGGAGCAAAATATAAGCCCCGCCCACCCACCCTGTCTCAATTCTGATGATTATTTTTATTCGCCGTGAGCCAAGAAAGCGGAGCTTAACTGCAAAATCCTTTTATCCTAACCGATTTCGACCATAATTTCTTGCTGTTTCAACTTTCGAATTCTCAGTTTTTCGAAATTTTAATTTGGGGACTTTTCAGTTTACTCCTATTTATTTTTCAATTTTTGAATTTTACAATTTCTCAATTTTTCAATTTCTCGGTTTTCAGTTTTTCTTTTCAGTTTTACGATTTTTAAATATTTCGATTTTTCAATTTTTGACTTTTATAAACTCTTTGTTTGTCGATTTTTCAATTAATTGATGTTTCAGGTTTTTTGGTTTTTCAATTTTTCGATTTTTTTCAGGTTTCGATTGTTCAACTTCAGTTTTTTGATCTCTCGATTTCTCAATTTTTCAATTTTTTAATTTCTCAGTTTTTGGACATTTCAGTTTTGGGATTTTTCAGTTTACTCATTATTTAATTTTTCGATCTTACGATTTTGCAGGTTTTTGATTTTTCAATTTTTCGATTTTTTTAAGGTTTCGATATTTCGACTTCACTTTTTTGATTCGCAATTTTTCGATTTTTTAGATTCTCAGTTTTGGGATTTTTCAGTTTTTCGATTCGTCAGTTTTTCTTTCATTTTTCAGTTTTTCGATATGTCAGTTTTGGGATTTTTCAATATTTCTGTTCTTCGACTTTTCCATTTTTGACTTCTGGATTTTTCGATGTGTCGACTTTTTACTTTTTCGATTTTTAAATTTTAGATTTCTCAATTTTTTGGTATTTTAATGTTTCTATATTTAAAATTTTAGGTTTCTCGATTTTTCATTTCTGTTCTTCGAAATTTCAGTTTTTCAAGTTTTAGAATTTTTCAAATGTTTTGATTTCTTAATCTATCGATTTTTCGACTTCCCGGTTTTGGATTTTCTGTTTTTCCACTGTCGTTTTTTCAAATTTTCGATTTTTCAAGTTTGACAATTATAAACTATCAATTTTTCGATTTTTCAATTAATCGATGTTTTGATTTTCCCATTTGTTGACTTTCGGGGGCTTCGATATTCCTGTTCTTCAATTCTGTAATTTTTCGATTTTTCAGGTTTTTGATTTTTCATTTTTTAGTTTTTTTAAGGTTTAGATTTTTCGACTTTACTTTTTGGTTTTTTCGATTGCTCAATTTTTCGACTTTTTAGGTTCTCAGTTTTTGGATATTTCAGTTTTGGGATTTTTCAATATTTCGATTCTTTGACTTTTCGATTTTTCAATTTTTCGATTGCTTAATCTTCCGATTTTTCGACTTCTCGGTTTTAGATTTTCAGTTTTTCAATTGTTATTTTGTCAAATTTTCGATTTTCTAATTTTTCAAATTTGACTTTTATAAACTCTCAATTTTTCTATTTTTCAATCAATTGATTTTTCAGGTTTTTTGGTTTTTCAATTTTTCTATTTTTCAGGTTTCGATTTTTCAACGTCACTTTTTTGATTTTTCGATTTCTCAATTTTTCAATTTTTTAATTTCTCAGTTTTTGGACATTTCAGTTTTGGGATTTTTCAGTTTTTCGATTCGTCAGTTTTTCTTTCATTTTTCGGTATTTCAGTTTTGGGATTTTTCAATATTTTTGTTCTTCGACTTTTCCATTTTTCACTTTTGGATTTTTCGATGTCTCGACTTTTTACTTTTTCGATTTTTAAATTTTAGATTTCTCAATTTTTTGGTATTTTAATTTTTCAATATTTAAAATTTTTGATTTTTCGATTTCTCGATTTTTCATTTCAGCTCTTCCATATTTCAATTTTTCAAATGTTTCGATTTCTTAATCTTTCGATTTTTCGACTTCCCGGTTTTAGAGTTTCTGTTTTTCAATTGTCGTTTTCTCAATTTTTCGATTTTTAAATTTTAGATTTTTCAGTTTCTTGATATTTTAATTTTTCAATATTTAAAATTTTAGATTTTTCGATTTCTCGATTTTTCGTTTCAGTTCTTCGATATTTCAGTTTTTCAAGTTTTCGAATTTTTCAAATGTTTCGATCTCTTAATCTATCGATTTTTTGACTTCCCGGTTTTAGATTTTCTGTTTTTCAGTTGTCATTTTTTCAATTTTTCAAATTTTCCATTTTTCAATTTTTCAAATTTGACATTTATAAACTCTCAGTTTTTCGATTTTTCAATTAATCGATGTTTTGATTTTCCCATTTCTTGACTTTCGAGGGTTTCGATATTCCTGTTCTTCAATTCTTTAATTTTTCGATTTTTCAGGTTTTTGATTTTTTATTTTTCAATTTTTTTAAGTTTTCAATTTTTCCACTTCACTTTTTGGATTTTTCTATTGCTCAATTTTTCGACTTTTTAGGTTCCCAGTTTTTGGATATTTCAGTTTTCGGATTTTTCAGGTTTTCCATTTTTCAGTCTTTCTTTCATTTTTCAGTTTTGGGATTTTTCAAAATTTCGATTCTTCGACTTTTCGATTTTTGGCTTCTAGAGTTTTCGATGTGTGGATTTTTTTACTTTTTCGATTTTTCAATTTTTCGATTGCTTAATCTTTCGATTTTTCGACTTCCCGGTTTTAGATTTTCTGTTTTCAATTGTCGTTTTAAATTTTTTGATTTTTCAATGTTTTAATTTCCCGATTTAGTTTCCCATTTTTAGTTTTTCTTTCATTTTGTAGTTTTTCGATAATTCAGTTTTGGGATTTTTCAATATTTCGATTCTTCGACTTTTCGATTTTTCACTCGTGGATTTTTCGATGTGTCGATTTTTTTACTTTTTTGATTTTTCAATTTGTCGATTTTTAAATTTTAGATTTTTTAATTTTTAAAATTTTAGATTTTTCGATTTTCCGATTTTTCATTTCAGGTCTTCGATACTTCAATTTTTCAAATGTTTCGATTTCTTAACCTTTTGATTTTTCGACTTCCCGGTTTTAGATTTTCTGAGTTTCAATTGTCATTTTGTCAAGTTTTAACTTATGTTATGTAATTTAATTGTAATTTCCTGTTATATATGTATTTTGTATTTTTTCTCTTTTGCCTACTTGTGGCTTATGCTGTTTGGCAAATATATACCTATTTATTTATTTATTTATTTATTTAAGTTTTCGATTTTCTAATTTTTTAAATCTGACTTTTATAAACTCTCAATTTTTCGATTTTTCAATCAATCGATGTTTTGATTTTCCCATTTCTTGATCTTCGAGTGTTTCGATTTTCCTGTTCTTCAATTTTTTGATTTTTGAGGTTTCTGATTTTTTAAGGTTTCTATTTTTCGACTTTACTTTTTTGATTTTTCAATTTTTCAGTTTTTAGATACTTCAGTTTCAGGATTTTTCAATATTTCAATTCTTCGGCTTTTCTATTTTTGACTTCTGGATTTTTCGATGTGTCCACCTTTTTACATTTTCGATTTTTCAATTTTTGGATTTTTAAATTTTAGATTTTTCAATCTTTTGACATTTTAATTTTTTAGTATTTCTTAACTTTCGAGTTTTCGACTTCCTGGTTTTAGATGTTCTGCTTTTCAACTTTTCGATTTATCAGTTTTTCAATTTTTTATTTTGGGCTATTTCGGTTTGTCGATTTCTCTAGTTTTCGATTTTTCGACTTCATCACTTTTCGATTTCTCGTCCTTTTGATCTTTCAATCTCTCAATTTTTCAATTTTTCGATTTCTCGATTTATCGGGATTCGGATTTTTCGATATTTTGATTGTCAATTTCTCAATTGTTCGACTTTTCGACTCCACGATTTCTTGAACTTTTGATTTTTCGATTTCTCGGTTTTCCGATTTTCCAGTTTTTCGATGTTTCGATTTTTCAGTGTTTCCAAAACATTTTCCCGAAAAAAATCCATTGGGTTACTACGATTTCAACAATATTCTTAGTTTAAGACGTTTTGCTAGTATAAAACACAAAGAATTAATTCCTTATTAATGTCAATAAGGATGGTTTTACAAAATCAGCCTGTATGTCACATCTATATTAATTAATTTTAATTTTAATTCAATTTCTCTAAGAAAAAACTTCTGTAAAGCAATTATGATAAAAATCACGGCAGACTCATAAACCACAAATATAGGATTATTTTAATTTTTTGTTTTTGTCATTTTTATTTGGGTCACTAGGCAACCAATAATACACCCTTCGACAAAAATAGTAATTTTTTAAAAAAATAAAAAACACGTAGCTGAGTATACTTAAACATATATTGACCTCAAAAACTTAAAAATAACAGTAATACATAAATATCCTTATCGTTAAATAAAACAAAGCGCTTTTCCTCTTACGTCAGCTTCTTCAAATGCACTTTAAAAAATATCAGCTCCTCCTCTGAAATAAACCTGTCGATAATATCCTCGGGGAGCTCCACACACCTCCCCCAGAAATCGTTACACATCGGCTGACACTCCCTCCCCAAAATAATCTTCTCAGAGCACTCCGTGGAGCAAACAATCTCCAACTCGTACGCATAAGAGCTCTGCTTGACCCCGAACTGCTGCAACGAAAACTTAATATCCCCATCGTACCAAACCACCAATCTAAAAATATCGTTGCCAAAGCAAATCGCGAAATACCTCAAAGTATCCTCCCTATCCCCCACATCCAGAATATGCACATCCCCGGCGACAATCAACCCATCATGGTGTTTCTCATTCAAGTGCTTAAACATATTCATGACAGCCCCTGTGGCGCAATCCAAAAAGCACTGTATCCCCGAAAAACTACAATCCTGCTCGTGCTCCCGGATTTTCTCACTGGAACAAGCGACAGAGCACCCGGCCTCCCGGAACATGCAAGGGTAGGAAATGCACGTCGTGAGCTTCTCCAGAGTGTAGTTGCGACCCTCTTGGAAGGGGTGGCGGCACGTGGGGCACTCGTCCATCTGTGCTCTGCAACGCAGGCAGAAACTGTGACCCGTACTACAAATCTGGATGGGTGGAACCATGTAGTTTTTACAAACCGGGCATTCCAGCTCCCTCAGGAAATTCTCGTCGAAAACACCCTCAAGTTGCGTCGAGTTCAAACTCTTGTCTCCATAGCTAATCTCGCGCTTTGATTTCTTGATGATTCCGAAGCGACCCATCACGGTAGTCGGGTTTTTGAGCAACCCGTTCACTACTGATAATTCCACCACTAGCATTTTCTCGGGATTGGCGAGGTTCTCCTCAAAACCGACCGCGTCTTCGAGCCTGCTCCTGCGCAAAATCACTGAATTTTTTCGGTTTTCGTCGTACAACTCCAACTGGTATCGGTATGCATCACAGTCCGTGCTGGTCCCGTTTACCATAACCAGACACGAGAGTTTCTCGGGTGGCTCGTACTTGATTGTCACGATCATGAGCTGTTTTAAAATTCGGGTTAAAAAAATGCAGTTCCATTTGGTCTCGGTAAAATTGACTTCTGGTAGTTTTTTGATGTTGTCTCCGTGGCAGCTTTCAAGGTGCTCGTTCAAACCCGGCCCAGACCCCATCCACTTACACTTATCAGTACCAAAAATATCGTCATTGATATAGGGGCAATTGAGCTTCTTGTAAAGACAGGTGTTTTCGTGTTCTTCCACTTCGCCCCATTTCAGCTGCGCTTTACACCCGTACGACGTATTCGAGCATGGAAAAATGAGATATTTGGCAACTGATTCGTACAAAGTTTGGCGAACCCATTTCGAATCTTCAGCCTTGTTCACGAACCGACAGCGGCCACAAATCGACTCGTTTTCGTGGTTGTAGATGGGCGGCACTGACAGGAATTTCTCGCAAAAGAAACATTTGAGGATTTCTTGCACGCACCCATTCAGGGAAAGATTGAGCGAGCTTTCCATCGAACTCGAGTTTTGGCTAAAAAGTTAAAAATGAGAAACGGCTTACGATGATAGGTTATCTCCTACCACATGGATGTACTTGACACAGACATTTCTTAGCACTTATTTCGCTTTTATTTGGTCTTTGGCGGAAAAAAGGCCATTTTGATGATAAGCGATAACCACAAAAAATTGGAATAGTTTGAAAATGCTGCCAACCGAAAAAAGTGACAGGTGGGAATTTGGGGCGAAATGGGGCTGAAATACCAAAGAAAAACGAAAGTGGACAATGGACAGTCAATACTGAGTAACTTAAAACGTTTTTGATTCAATTTTGGATTTTTTAGGGGCTCCGGGACGTAATTAATACCGCGAGAGGAAAAGGTTGGCATGCCTGACCGGCGTTTTTCTAACCTCAATTTACGATTTTTATTACACTTTATTCAGGCGTGATTGAAACTACGGAGTCTTACAATTTTACAATCATTGTTCGTCTTGATTGTGTTATTCTGGGGTGTTATTTTATATTATATACAATCAATCGAAATATAACCTAACATTCGTGCAATGTTGTCAGACTTACTTACCGCCTTTTTTCTCAATATACGTAGTCGTCTTTTCCAAACGAGAAACTTAAAACATGTTTAAAATGGTAAATTCTTGCAGACAAATATGGATCTTGCAATTAAGCCCCGCCTCTCGATCTGACAACGAATGAAAAATTCATCACAATTGAGAATTGAGATTGGGGCGGGTGTGGGTGTGGCCTAATCTTTGGCTTTATTTTTTACTTAATATACACAGTATTCTTTAAACAACACGATACTCAAAACATGTTTTTAATTTCTCATAGAGAAGTAAAGATTTTGCAGTTAAAGCTCCGTCCCTTTGGCTTACGACGAATAAAAAAAATCATCACAATTGAGATAGGGTGGGTGGGCGGGGCTTCTATTTTGCCTTTTTTTCTTTGTATGTGTAGACTTATTTCGACAACAAAAAACTTAAAACCAAATGGTAATTTTGTATAGGGAAATATCGATTTTGCAATTACGCTCCGCCCCTCGGTCTAACGACGAATGGAAAATTCTTCACGGTTAAGATCGAGACAACTGGGTGGGACTTCTCTTATAGCTTTCTTTTTTAATTAATAATACATATTTAGTTTTCTTTGTCTAACACGATTACTTAAGAACATATTTCACATGGTAATTTCTCGTAGAAAAATAAGGATTTTACAAGTAAGCTCCACCCCTCGGCTTACGGCGAATAAAAAAGAATCAGCAGAATTTTTTTCTTAATATACTATAGTATTTCCTTTTATAACAAGAAGCTTAAAACCTGGTTAAAATGGCTTTTGCAAAGAAATATGAATTTCGAAACTATTGGTCGGAATATAATTGCAAAATCGATATTTCCTTCTACAAATTTTCCATTTTAAACATGTTTAAGTTTCGTGTTGTGACAAAGAAGTCTACACATATTAGAAAAAAAGACAAAATATAATCCCGCCCACCCGCCCTATCTCAATTGTGATAATTTTTTATTCGCCGAGAACCAAAGGGGCGAAGCTTAACTGCAAAATATTTATTTCTATACAAAAAATTAAAAACATATTTTTCAGTATCGTGTTGTTCAAAGAATACTATGTTTGTATTAAAAAAAGCAAAATATAAACCCCACCCACCCACCCCGTCTCAATTGTGATGATTTTTTTTATTCTTAGAAACTTAAAACACGTTTAAAATGGTAAATTCTTGTAAGAAAATATGGATCTTGCAATTAAGCCCCGCCCCTCCATCTGACAACGAATGAAAAATTCATCACAATTGAGATAGGGTGGGTGGGCGGGGCTTATATTTTGCCTTTTTTTCTTAACATACATAGCCATCTGTTCACAAGAAGAAACTTAGAACATGGTTAAAATGGTACCTTTTGCAAGAAAATATGGATTTTGCAATTATGGGGCCGAGGCTAATTGTAAAATCGATATTTTCTTATACAAATTTTAAACATGTTTTAAGTTTCAAGTTGTAGTAAGAAGTCTATACATATTAAAACAAAAAGGCATAATATAGGCCCGCCCACCCACCCACCCTATCTCAATTGTGATGATTTTTTTTTATTCGCCGTGAACCAAGGGGGCGGAGCTTAACTGCAAAATATTTATCTCTTCACAAGAAATTAAAAACATGTTTTTGAGTATCGTGTTGTTCAAAGAATATTATGTATATGTATTAAGAAAAAAAAGCAAAATTTAGCTTCGCCCACCCACCCCATCTCAATTGTGATGATTTTTTTATTCGTAGAAACATGTCTTTCATGGTAATTTCTTGTAGAGAAATAATAAGGATTTTGCAATTAAATTCCGCTACTTTGGCTCTCGACGATTGAAAAAAAAATAATCACAATTGAGATAGGGTGGATGGGCGGGGCATATTTTTCGCCTTTTTCCTCAATATACGTCGGACAATGGACAGTCAATACTGAGTTACTTAGGACGTTTTTGATTCAATTTTGGATTTTTTAGGGGCTCATGGACGTAATTAATAACGCGAGAGGAAAAGGTTGGCATGCCTGACCGGCGTTTTTCTAACCTCAATTTACGATTTTTATTACACTTTATTCAGGCGTGATTGAAACTACGTGATCCTACAATTTTACAATCATTGTTGTCTTGATTGTGTTATTCCGGGGTGTTATTTTATATTTTATACAATCAATCGAAATATAACCTAACATTCGTGCAATGTTGTCAGACTTACTGAGTCAATTTAAAATTTGTCACATTTTTTTTAATTTGTCCATTGACTACTAGCAGGCGACCTAATAAATACTAAGTTAGAAAAAAAATAGCACTGGGTAAGAATCATCTGAATTAATTAAACTTAATTACTGGACGACAACATCTGGCAACACTGCAGTCGTTGCAAAATAAACATTCTTATTTAAGAAAAAACATGATCTACCAGTCGAGAATTTTCACCAAATTGTCTAAAATACCCCGAAAACTTAACCACCGACACATTTCAGGCCTAAACTTGTGGGTATGACACCGTCTTCAATTTTTCGAATTTGAGGTTATGTTATTTTATTTACCCCCAGAACGAAGAACTCACGTCTGAAATTAAACACAAAGTAGAAGACCACTGGAAAGACAAGCTATCATTCAGGAAATACGATGAAAACTATCCCGGCGACAAATACTACGTGCTTTCCATGTTTCCATACCCATCCGGGCAACTGCACATGGGGCACGTCCGGGTCTACACAATCAGCGACTCTATCGCCAGATTCCAGAGAATGAACGGCAAAAACGTACGATTCCTGTTTGCTTTATCCAAACTGACGACTATTTCCAGGTTTTTCACCCCATTGGGTGGGACGCTTTTGGTCTCCCAGCTGAAAACGCCGCCATCGAGAGACAAATCCTCCCCGACAAGTGGACACAAACCAACATAAAACAAATGAAAACGCAACTGGAGCGTTTAGGGTGCAGCTTCGAGTGGGACCGGGAGTTGGCCACCTGTGACCCTTCCTACTACAAGTGGACACAAAACTTATTCCTGAAATTGTACGACGCTGGTCTTGTATACCAGAAAAAAGCCATGGTTAATTGGGACCCAGTTGACCAAACCGTGCTAGCCGACGAACAAGTAGACGAAAATGGGTGTTCGTGGCGCTCTGGGGCCAAAGTGCAAAAAAAACCCTTAAAGCAGTGGTTCATAAGGACTACGAAATTCGCGAAAGCGTTGCTCGAGGGGTTAAACGACCCGCTTTTACTGGACTGGAGGGACGTGACCAAACTACAAAAACACTGGATAGGGGAGTGCGACGGGGTAAACTTTGACTTTAAAATATTAGGGGGCGACGATTTTCTGACTTTGTGGACACCGTATCCCGAATTTATCGACTCGGTGAAGTTCGTAGCAATTAATTCGGACCACATTTTGGGGAGGGGTGTCGAAGGGACGAAAAAACTACCAGTCGAGCTTTTACACCCTTTAACGGGCGAAAAAATCCCCGTATTTGTCACAAACGAGCTCGAATTTCTCCCATTAACCGACTCGTTCGTCGGTATTCCTGGGGTATGCCCGAAATCAGCCGAATTTGCCGATTCTGTGAAGATCTCGTACGAAAAAACAGCTATTTTGAGCGACACCGAGCGCCTGTCGCGTCAAAATCAAATTTGCCGCCAAGCCGAAGCGCTGAAAGTGGGCGGCTACTGGTCGAGCGCGAAGCTCAAGGATTGGCTGATTTCGCGTCAGCGGTTTTGGGGTACGCCCATCCCCATCGTTCATTGTAATAAGTGTGGAGCGCAGCCAATCAGAGACCTCGTCGCGTTACCCACAAAGGGCGAGCTTTCCGATTGGGTGAACTGCGAATGTCCACAATGTAAACAAAAAGCGAAACGTGAAACCGACACCATGGACACTTTCGTGGACAGTTCGTGGTACTTCCTCAGGTACCTCGACCCAACCAACAGTGCCGAAATTTTCGACAAGAATAAAATCAGTAAAGGGATGCCTGTTGATTTATACATCGGTGGTAAAGAGCACGCCGTCCTTCATTTGTACTACGCGAGGTTCATTGGCCACTTTTTGCACACGGAAGGGTTGCTGCCGGAACGGGAGCCCTTCAAGCGTCTGTTGGTACAAGGCATGGTGATGGGACGCTCCTATAGAGTCAAAGGGACAGGCCGCTACGTCACCGAAACCCAAATCAAGGTCGTAGGTGGGTAAGTCACACCTAACCAACAAAAACCAACCTTTGTGTGTATTTCAAGACAAGAAAAAGAACAAAGCTGTGGTGACAGACACAGGCGAACAGGTGGTCATGGCGTGGGAGAAAATGTCAAAGTCGAAACAAAATGGCGTCGACCCGGGCGACATGTTTAAGGAGTATGGCAGTGATACCACCAGACTTTTGATTTTGGCGGATGTGGCACCCACGTCGCACCGGCACTGGAACAGCAACAGTAAGTAGGTTGGTAGCAGTGTTACTTAAGTATATTATAGTTGGACAACCTAATACAAATTTTACTTCGCCTAAATAGTGAGCTTTAGGACAAGGAATCCAGGGGGCGTGGGACAAATTTTTCGTCAACGCGCATTTTCACTACAGTGAGCCAACGTATTAGGTTTATTTTCTTCTAAATCAGATGGCGCCATCAAACATTAGCAAAGGCAAACACCCTTCACTCTGCTCTTATACGAGGAGTTATCCATAAATCCATAATTAACATTGTTCCGTAAACAGTAATATGTATAAACATATATGTACAAAATATGAAAATATACTTGACATAAAAAATATGAAGCAACGCGTTGTAACGTGATAAGAAAGAATTGAATTTGAAATAACAACATTTACATTTCAAATTGTATTATCAAATTACACTCTTCAAAATTTGTCACGAACAATGAAATGACGCAATCTCCAAATTTTACAATAGTAAAATTGTAGTTTCGCCCCGTTTACGGTTTATGCATCCGTGTCGAGTTTTCACCTTAGACGTCAAAATTTTTGGAAAAAAAATCAACATTTTCCAATTTATAATGTTATGTATTTAAATTTTAAAAAGTAGAATAGTCCTGATCTTGTGATTTATACCTAAATACGCTATTGGGATTTTTCGGCTTGTCGATTTCTCGATTTTTCAACTTTAAATGTCTCAGTTTTTCAATATTCCAATTTTGGGCTTTTCCGATTCCTCCATTCCTTAAATTTTCTATTTCTCGATTTTTTTATTTTTCGATTTCTCAATCTCACGATGTTTCAATGATACGATTTCTCAATTTTTGTCCTCTTCAATTTTACGGTTTTTAAATATTTCGATTTTTCAATTTTTCAAATTTTCACGTTTCTAAATTTTCAGTTTGCCGATTTCTAAAGTATTTTTTTTATTTGTCCATTTCTGGATTTCCTGAAGTTTCGATTTTTCACATCTTCAATTTTTCGATTTTTTAAGATTACGATTTTTCAATTTTGCTTTTTTAGATTTTCGATTTCTCAATTTTCCAATTTTTTAATTTCTCAATTTTTTGAATATTTCTTTCAGTTATGAGATTTTTCAATATTTCAATTTTTCGACTTTTCGATTTTTGAATTGATGGATTTTTTTGATTTCTCGCTTTTTTCCTTTTTGGATTTTCGATTTATTGTAAACTTTAGATTTTTCAGTTCTGGGACTGTTTAATGCTTCGATTTCTCAATTTTTAAACTTTTCGATGTTTTCATATTTCATTTTTTAAAATTCTAGGTTTTTCGATATCTCGAGTTTTCAGTTCTTCTGTTTCAATTTTTCGATTTTTTGAATTTTAATTTTTGATTTTCCAGTTTTTCTTTTTTAAAATTTTTCGATTATTCAATTTTTTAATTTCTCAATTTATCGAATTCAGATGTTTCGTTGTTTTGATTGTTCAATTTCTCAATTTTTCAATTTTTAACTTTCCTTTTCGGCTTCCGACTCCTCAATTTCTCGATCCTCCGATTTTTCGATTTCTCGAAGTCTCAGTTTTTGAATTTTTCGATGTTTCGATTTTTGGATTTCTCGGTTTTTCGATTTTATTCTTTTGAGCTTTTCAATTTCTGGATTTTCCAATAAATCTACTTTTGATTTTCCCACTTCTCAAAGTTTCGATTTTTCAGTTCTTCAATTCTTCGATTTTTCGACTTCGCTTTATTGGTTTGTCGATTTCTCAATTTTTGGATATTTCTTTCAGTTTTGATATTTTTCAATACTTCGATTCTTTCATTTTTCGACTTCTAGATTTTTCTATTTTTTATTTTTGGATTTTCAGTTTTTTGTTTTTTATTTCAATTTCTCAATTTTTCAACTTTTTCATATTTTAATTTTTAAATTTCTAGATTTTTCAGTTTCTCGAGTTTCCAGTTCCATATTTTAATTTTTTAAATTTACGAATGTTTAAATTTTTTGAGATCTCAATTCATTGAGATTCGGATGTTTCGATGTTTTGATTATTCAATCTCTCGCTTTATCAATTTTTCCATATTTAAGTTTTCGATTTTTCGATTTTGGCCTACTTCGGTTTCTCAATTTTTTGATTTTTCTACTTCTCGATTTTTCGACTCCTCGATTTTTTTTGTCTTTTGATTTTTCGATTTCTCGATGTCTCAATTTTTGAATTTTACAATGTTTCGATTTTTCGATTTGTTGGTTTTTCGATTTTTTGCTTTTCGGTTTCTCGATTTTTCGATGTTTCGATTTTTGATTTATCCGATTTTTCAATTGTCCAATTTTGTAAATTCTCGACTTCTCGATTCGTTGATTTTTCAGTTTTTCGATTATTAAATTTTAGATTTTTATTTTTATTTTTGATTTTTTGATGTTTGGATTTCTCCATTTTTCAGTTTTAGGATATTTTAACTTTTCAATGTTTTAGATTTTAGATTTTTCGATTTTTTAGTTCTTCAATATTTTTTTATTTTTCAAATTTTGACGTTTCTGAATTTTTAGTTTTCGGATTTCTCAATTAATCTATTTTTTTATATTCCCATTTCTCCACTTCCTAAAGTTTCGATTTTTCAGTTCTTCTGTTCTTCAATTTTTCGACTATTCAGGTTTTTGATGTTTCGTTCAATTTTGTGATTTTTCAGTTTTTCGATTTTCCAATTTTTCCATGTTTCGATTTTTGAATTAACCGATTGTTCAATTTCTCGATTTTTAAATTTTAGATTTTCCAATTTTAATTTTTCAGTGTTTTAAGTCTGCTTATCGACATCACGTGCTTACGGACTATTTTTACCCCCTTTCGTAAGGTACCGCCACTTCATAGTGAAGCGAGTGAGATGTAAAATATATATTCATTCTTTTCTACATGGGAAAGTGATTGTCCGTACAGGTTGTCCAACTATAATATACTTAAACAATGGTAGCAGTGTTACTTAAGTGAAGTTAGCGTTTCCGGGGATTTTGAACTGGCAGAAGCGGTTGTGGTTGACGATTCGGGACTTCATTAAACACAGGACGAATCCACCGCCTGCTATTCCCGATGACGAGTTCAAAGCACACGACGATTACATGTTCGACTCGAGGAATTATTACATTAAAGGGGTGACTTTCAATTATTGCGGGTCGCAGCAGCACAGTGTGGCGGTTTCGAAGCAACAAGGACTCACCAATAGCATCAGAGTAAGTTTTTGAATGGCGCAGTCGGTAGGATTAATTTTTGGTTTGTAGAGGGCGCCACCTGCCGTTTTTGCTAATAGTCTTCAGTTTGAAAGAGCCCTAGCCGGTCAGATCATCGTGCTAGCCCCCATGGCCCCACATTTCGCTTCGGAGTTGTGGAGCGGCTTCGTCTCAGCTCGGGGTCGTCTCAACCAATCCGACGAAATCGACTGGGATAGGTCGGTTCTAGAGCAAAGATGGCCGACGATTGACTCTAACTATAACCTAGATCTTGTGTGCAAAGTCAACGGGGATGAAAAGTGCGTTGTGAAGATAGCCAAAAGTGAGTTCGAGACGTTGTCGCAAGAGGGTGCAGCTGAAATTGCTTTGAAACAAAAAGAAGTGAAGGAGGAGCTGTCCGACAAGACGGTTTTGTACACTAGGTATATAAAACACCCGGATTATGATGGTGTGTTGAATATTACGACTTCGATGGGTTGGAGAGAGAAAGAAACAAATTTGTAGTTGTTTATTTTTAAATACATTTTTTAATTACACGTTGTTGTTTTGTTAACATGTGCGGAATGGAGGTGGTTGGGGGGTTAGAATTGGGGTGAGGGGTGTGTTCTCCCAGTAACCTGGAAATCTGTCGCCTGTAGACATATTGCACTGCATACTTAGAGGTGCTTCTTGGTAGACGTCCCGGAGGAGTTGGACGCGCATTTTGTTCCACTGGATGGCTTGGTAGTTGTCTGATATAGCTCGAGACCAAGACGTGTCCTGTCCTTCCCACTCTTTCATGTAGTTGAAATAAGTACTCAAGGCATGGTCGCTGATGGCGCTCTTGCACACCTCGAGTTCCGTGGCTGGAAAATAGTGTACATAGTTAACACACATTTCGTCCGTAATGGCAAACCCTCCGAGTGTCACGTTATCCCGATCCTCTGTATTGTAGTAACACCTCGTGATTAAAGCATCCCCTGGGAGAACTTTAACGGGTTTTTTTAATCGACGTATTTCTTGAAAGTGCGTACTGTAGTGGTCATCCCGATTCAACTCCATCATTTCAACACCGTCCCGGACGTGCCTGGTGTATACTTTAACTCCGGTGAGGTGCGTGTGTAGTTGTGACCCGAAGATGGTGATACCTTCAGGCGGTAAACTCTGAAAATAAAACAATCAGCGACACCTAGTGATGGGTTTAAAGTGGTACCACGGCGGTGCATTCACTGACGCAGTAACCCGTCAAAGGAAACGCTTCTTGTCCTGGAGGAATAGCCATTTTGTCCGTGTATTCAAGACCCAGCTCGATAACCCCAGCATCCATTGCTTTGAGTTTCGGGGAGACGTGGAATCGAATACCCGAGCTGTCAACAAACCCGGATTTGCGTTCAGGGTTGTTGTAGTGGATTTCTAACATGATGTGGAGGTTGAAATCGGGACCACCGAGCGGGAGACCGGCTTCCTGGTGACAAGTACGTGTGTTGAATACATAAAAAATTGCTCTAAAGAGTTTAGACAGACATTTTAAAAAAATACATTTGACCCTCCCGAGAAGATTTTACATTTTTAAAAAAGTCAGTTTGGATCTTTGAGAAGGTTTTACATTTTCAAAAAATACAGTTGAACCTCTTGAGGTTTTACATTTTTAAAAAAGCCAGTTAGGGGACCCCTGAGAAGATTTTACATTTTCAAAAAATACAGTTGAGCCTCCCGAGAAGGTTTTACATTTTTAAAAACGCCAGTTAGGGGATCTCTGAGAAAGTTTCACATTCTTAAAAAAATCAGTTGTGGCTTCCGAGAAGGTTTTACATTTTTAAAAAGCCAGTTGGGATCTCTGAGAAGGTTTCACAGTCTTAAAGAAAACCTCTTGTGCCTCCCGAGAAGGTTTTACATTTTTAAAAAAGTCAGTTTGGATCTTTGAGAAGGTTTTACATTTTCAAAAAAAATCATTTGAGCCTCCCGAGAAGGCAGGGAACCGAACTGGCTTTTAAAAATGTAAAACCTTCTTGGGAGACTCAACTGCATTTTTAAAAAACGTAAATCCAGTTGGGGGGCCCGTGAAGATTTTACATTTTTAAAAAAGACATTTGGGATTGCAGAGAAGGTTTTACATTTAAAAAAAAACAGTTGTGGCTTCCCAGAAGGTTTTACATTTTCAAAAAATACAGTTGAGCTTCCCGAGAAGGTTTTACATTTTTAAAAAAGTCAGTTTGGATCTTTGAGAAGGTTTTACATTTTCAAAAAATACAGTTGAGCCTCCCGAGAAGGCAGGGAACCGAACTGGCTTTTAAAAATGTAAAACCTTCTTGGGAGACTCAACTGCATTTTTAAAAAACGTAAATCCAGTTGGGGGGCCCGTGAAGATTTTACATTTTTAAAAAAGACATTTGGGATTGCAGAGAAGGTTTTACATTTAAAAAAAAACAGTTGTGGCTTCCCAGAAGGTTTTACATTTTCAAAAAATACAGTTGAGCTTCCCGAGAAGGTTTTACATTTTTAAAAAAGTCAGTTTGGATCTTTGAGAAGGTTTTACATTTTCAAAAAATACAGTTGAGCCTCCCGAGAAGGCAGGGAACCGAACTGGCTTTTAAAAATGTAAAACCTTCTTGGGAGACTCAACTGCATTTTTAAAAAACGTAAATCCAGTTGGGGGGCCCGTGAAGATTTTACATTTTTAAAAAAGACATTTGGGATTGCAGAGAAGGTTTTACATTTAAAAAAAAACAGTTGTGGCTTCCCAGAAGGTTTTACATTTTCAAAAAATACAGTTGAGCTTCCCGAGAAGGTTTTACATTTTTAAAAAAGTCAGTTTGGATCTTTGAGAAGGTTTTACATTTTCAAAAAATACAGTTGAGCCTCCCGAGAAGGTTTTACATTTTTAAAAAAGCCAGTTAGGGGATCTCTGAGAAGGTTTCATATTTAAAAAAAAACCAGTTGTGGCTTCCGAGGTTTTACATTTTTAAAAAATACAGTTGAGCCTCCCGAGAAGATTTTACATTTTTAAAAAAGTCAGTTTGGATCTTTGAGAAGGTTTTACATTTTCAAAAAATACAGTTGAGCCTCTCGAGAAGGTTTTACATTTTTAAAAAAGCCAGTTAGGGGATCCCTGAGAAGATTTTACATTTTCAAAAAATACAGTTGAGCCTCCCGAGAAGGTTTTACATTTTTAAAAACGCCAGTTAGGGGATCTCTGAGAAGGTTTCATATTCTTAAAAATCCAGTTGAGCCTCCCGAGAAGGTTTTACATTTTTAAAAAAGCCAGTTGGGATCTCTGAGAAAGTTTCAAATTCTTAAAAAAATCAGTTGTGGCTTCCGAGAAGGTTTTACATTTTTAAAAAGCCAATTGGGAGCTCTGAGAAAGTTTCACATTCTTAAAAAAATCAGTTGTGGCTTCCGAGAAGGTTTTACATTTTTAAAAAGCCAGTTGGGAGCTCTGAGAAGGTTTCACAGTCTTAAAAAAAAACACTTGTGGCTTCCGAGAAGGTTTTACATTTTCAAAAAATACAGTTGAGCCTCCCGAGAAGGTTTTACATTTTTAAAAAAGCCACTTGGAATCCCTGAGAAAGTTTTACATTTTCAAAAAAATACAGTTGAGCCTCCCGAGAAGGTTTTACATTTTTAAAAAAGCCAGTTGGAATCCCTGAGAAGGTTTTACATTAAAAAAAAATCATTTGAGCCTCCCGAGAAGGCAGGGAACCGAACTGGCTTTTAAAAATGTAAAACCTTCTTGGGAGACTCAACTGTATTTTTAAAAAACGTAAATCGAGTTGGGGGGCTGAGAAGGTTTTACATTTTTAAAAATACAGTTGGGATCCCTGAGAAGGTTTTACCATCTTAAAAAAAATAATTTGAGGCCCCCGAGAAGGTTTTACATTAAAAAAAAACCAGTTGGGATTCCAGAGAAGGTTTCACATTGTTGAAAAAATGTAAAAAATGAAAAAAATCCAAAAATCCAAAAAACCAAAAAAAATCCAAAAAAAAAACCAAAAATCCTGAGGGAATCGAAAAAACCAAAAAACATAAAAGGCAAAAAATCTAAGCATTCTGGAAAAGGAAAAAATAAAAAAAGCCACAGAACCCAAGAAATCCAAGAAAACCAACAATTCCAAAAATCGAAAATTCCAAAAATTCAAATATATAAAAAAAAATCAAAAAATTAGAATATAAGGAAAAATCCAAATCTTTAATTGAAAAAGTCCAAAAAATCTAAAGACAAGACAACAAAAAAGCTTGAAAAATGCCCAAAGTCTAACAAACTCAGGACCATTTAGTAATTCAAAAAACGCAAAAAATCGGAACAACCCAAAAAGCCCAGGACTCAAGGAACTCAAAAGATCCGAAAAATAAAAGAAACAGTAAAGCCAAAAAACCTAAGAAACGAGATCTCAGAATTCGATAATTCAAAAAATTCAGGAAATCCAAAAAATCAAAAAAATCCAAGAAACTCAAGAAATTCAGTAAGTCGAAAGAAGTCAAAACCCTAGCTACTCAAGAAACTAAAAAAATCCGAAAAATATAAAATTTAAAAAATTCCAAGAAACTCAGAAATCAAAAAATCCAGAAATTCAAAAAGTCAAAAAAAATCCAAAAATAGAAAAAATTAAAAAAAATTAAAATAATAAAAAACCTTAAAGAATCGAGAAACCAAGAAGCCAAAAAAAGATAAAAAAATGTAAGAAATCCAAAAAACCAAAACGGTGAAAAATCCGCAAAATTCAAGAATCTCAAAAAATCCGACAAATCAAAAACCCAAGAAACTAAATCTCAAAATTCAATCATTGCAAAAATCAAGAATTCTAAACAATCGAAAATTTACAACAAAAATCCAAAAAATTACAATATCAGAAAAAATCCAAATGAAAAAGTCCAAAAAATCTAAAGAAACCAAAAGGTGAAAAAATCCCCAAAATGTAAGAAACTCGAGAAATCCAGTAATTCAAAAATTCCAAAAAATAGGAACAATTCAAAAATTCCTCAGGAAACTAAAAGAATCGGAAAAATTGGTCTAAAGAGTTTAGACAGTACTTCCCTCGCTGTCGGAAACTTGACGACTGCATGCCTATTGTGTTTTTTTTCTCATTACATTTTTGTAGTGGGAATTTAAAAAAAAATGAGATGACGTCATCAACATTTTTACAAGGACACGTATATCAGTTGGGATAGATGTAGTGTAATACTAAGAATAAAATTATTGTATTCTCAAATTTTCGGGAAAATGAATTGGGTCGTTTTGAATATTGATTTGCAATAATTAATAAAATAACGAAACAATTTACTCACGTATACGTATCAGAGGCAACTGAAAATCGTGTATGTATAAACATTCTTAATTTAAGATGACAGGCGTAACAGCATACGTGAGAGTCAAACAGAGAAACTGTAAACAAAACGACCATCGGTTTATTGCTTCGACTTCCGCTTATTATATAAAACATTGGGTTTTATTTTAATTCTTGACGGTGAAATTCACAATTGGTTGATTATGAACATGTCTATTTCACATTCGCGGAACCAAGTGATCGCATGAAACAAATGCAGGTCTGTAATGTTAAAGTCGATGTAAATAAGCGTGCCACCCTTATGTTTCAAGCGAGTTTTTCCTTTAACAAATTTTGTGTCTACCAAATTGGGTTGGTTGGGGTGTAATACTAATAATAAGTGTTGCCTTTAATTTAATCAATAAAATAAATTGACTTCATTAATTTTTTTGAACCACCTCTTAAGAAAATCTAAAAAATATGAATGGAAAGATAAATCACAAGTACAAAGTCATCATATTTTTTGCATTTTAGATAGGATTTATTCAGCAAAATTTAAGGGTGACGTCATCAATTTTTTTAGGAGGGATGAACAAATACATTTTGAACAAAAGTTTACCATGCTTATAATAACTTTAAAATATCTCCAAGATTTCAAAGCATTCGGTTTTGTAATTCCTGATTAAATCGAAAAAATAAATACACGCATTCATTAATTTTTTTGAGTCACCCTGTATATGCAAATCCAAAAATATGAATGGAATGATAAATCACAAGTACAGACTCATCATATTTTGTACATTTTAGATAGGATTTATTTAGTTTGGATCTCTGAGAAGGTTTTACATTTTCAAAAAATACAGTTGAGCTTCCCGAGAAGGTTTTACATTTTTAAAAAAGTCAGATTGGATCTCTGAGAAAGTTTCACATTCTCAAAAAAATCAGTTGTAGCTTCCGAGAAGGTTTTACATTTTCAAAAAATACAGTTGAGCCTCCTGAGAAGGTTTTACATTTTTAAAAAAGCCACTTGGAATCCCTGAGAAGATTTTACATTAAAAAAAAATCATTTGAGCCTCCCGAGAAGGCAGGGAACCGAACTGGCTTTTAAAAATGTAAAACCTTCTTGGGAGACTCAACTGTATTTTTAAAAAACGTAAATCGAGTTGGGGGGCTGAGAAGGTTTTACATTCTTAGAAAAAACCATTTGGGATCCCTGAGAAGGTTTTACGATCTTAAAAAAAATAATTTGAGGCCCCCGAGAAGGTTTTACATTTAAAAAAAAACCAGTTAGGATTCCAGAGAAGGTTTCACATTGTTGAAAAAATGTAAAAAATGAAAAAAATCCAAAAATCCAAAAAACCAAAAAAAAAATCCAAAAAAAAACCAAAAATCCTGAGGGAATCGAAAAAACCAAAAAACATAAAAGGCAAAAAATCTAAGCATTCTGGAAAAGGAAAAAATAAAAAAGCCACAGAACCCAAGAAATCCAAGAAATCCAACAATTCCAAAAATCGAAAATTCCAAAAATTCAAATATATAAAAAAAAATCAAAAAATTAGAATATAAGGAAAAATCCAAATCTTTAATTGAAAAAGTCCAAAAAATCTAAAGACAAGACAACAACAAAGGTTGAAAAATGCCCAAAGTCTAACAAACTCAGGACCATTTAGTAATTCAAAAAACGCAAAAAATCGGAACAATCCAAAAAGCCCAGGACTCAAGGAACTCAAAAGATCCGAAAAATAAAAGAAACAGTAAAGCCAAAAAACCTAAGAAACGAGATCTCAGAATTCGATAATTCAAAAAATTCAGGAAATCCAAAAAATCAAAAAAATCCAAGAAACTCAAGAAATTCAGTAAGTCGAAAGAAGTCAAAACCCTAGCTACTCAAGAAACTAAAAAAATCCGAAAAATATAAAATTTAAAAAATTCCAAGAAACTCAGAAATCAAAAAATCCAGAAATTCAAAAAGTCAAAAAAAATCCAAAAATAGAAAAAATTAAAAAAAATTAAAATAATAAAAAACCTTAAAGAATCGAGAAACCAAGAAGCCAAAAAAAGATAAAAAAATGTAAGAAATCCAAAAAACCAAAACGGTGAAAAATCCGCAAAATTCAAGAATCTCAAAAAATCCGACAAATCAAAAACCCAAGAAACTAAATCTCAAAATTCAATCATTGCAAAAATCAAGAATTCTAAACAATCGAAAATTTACAACAAAAATCCAAAAAATTACAATATCAGAAAAAATCCAAATGAAAAAGTCCAAAAAATCTAAAGAAACCAAAAGGTGAAAAAATCCCCAACATCTAAGAAACTCAAGAAATCCAGTAATTCAAAAATTCCAAAAAATAGGAACAATTCAAAAATTCCTCAGGAAACTAAAAGAATCGGAAAAATTGGTCTAAAGAGTTTAGACAGTACTTCCCTCGCTGTCGGAAACTTGACGACTGCATGCCTATTGTGTTTTTTTTCTCATTACATTTTTGTAGTGGGAATTTAAAAAAAAATGAGATGACGTCATCAACATTTTTACAAGGACACGTATATCAGTTGGGATAGATGTAGTGTAATACTAAGAATAAAATTATTGTATTCCCAAATTTTCGGGAAAATGAATTGGGTCGTTTTGAATATTGATTTGTAATAATCAATAAAATAACGAAACAATTTACTCACGTATACGTATCAGAGGCAACTGAAAATCGTGTATGTATAAACATTCTTAATTTAAGATGACAGGCGTAACAGCATACGTGAGAGTCAAACAGAGAAACTGTAAACAAAACGACCATCGGTTTTATTGCTTCGACTTCCGCTTATTATATAAAACATTGGGTTTTATTTTAATTCTTGACGGTGAAATTCACAATTGGTTGATTATAAACATGTCTATTTCACATTCGCGGAATCAAGTGAACGCATAAAACAAATGCAGGTCTGTAATGTTAAAGTCGATGTAAATAAGCGTGCTACCCTTATGTTTCAACCGAGTTTTTCCTTTAACAAATTTTGTGTCTACCAAATTGGGTTGGTTGGGGTGTAATACTAATAATAAGTGTTGCCTTTAATTTAATCAATAAAATAAATTGACTTCATTAATTTTTTTGAACCACCTCTTAAGAAAATCTAAAAAATATGAATGGAATGATAAATCACAAGTACAAAGTCATAATATTTTTTGCATTTTAGATAGGATTTATTCAGCAAAATTTAAGGGTGACGTCATCAATTTTTTTAGGAGGGATGAACAAATACATTTTGAACAAAAGTTTACCATGCTTATAATAACTTTAAAATATCTCCAAGATTTCAAAGCATTCGGTTTTGTAATTCCTGATTAAATCGATAAAATAAATTCACGCATTCATTAATTTTTTTGAGTCACCCTGTATATGCAAATCCAAAAATATGAATGGAATGATAAACCACAAGTACAGACTCATCATATTTTGTACATTTTAGATAGGATTTATTCGGCAAACTTTTGAGCTGACGTCATCAAGTTTTTGGAGGGGATAACCATATATATTTTGACTAAAGATTTATGATGCTCTTTATAGCCTTAAAACATCTGCAACATTTCAAAACATTCGGGTTAGCAGATTAAAATTAAATTGCAAAATGTTGTTTTATAATTTTGATTTTTTTTTCCAAAAATCTGGACGTTTCGAGTAAAAACTGAATTCGGAGTCGTAAACTACATGTGTAGGACTATGTTATTTTATACAATTTAAGACCCATTTACTATGTACAATTTTGAAGTGACGTCATCGCATTAGTGGTGGGGATGATTAGACAAATTTTAGTTAGCGTTTTACCATCTACATGATATTCCTAATATAAGTACAAAATTTCACAACAATCGGTCCAGTACTTTCGGAGATTATCTGTCTAATAAAAATCCGGGACGGAGACAGACGGACAGACGGACATACGGACGGACAGACAGACGGAAATGGGAGACCTATTTCGGCCGACGGACTCGATTACAATACTTCCTTTGCTTACGCTCGGGAAGTAAAAAGGATATAAGTAGTACCTCCGGGTAGGTAAATGGTGGTGCACCCATTGCCCACGCCGCCAGAACTCTTTTACACACTTGTGTTTCCTTTGGTCGGTCCTGTGCGAAACAATTTCCTACGTATAGTGGAATTTCCTCGTCTGGAGGTGCCACACAGTGAAAGACTTCCATGTGGTGCACCAAACCCTCACTGGTTCTCGGAATTAGGGCTTCGTACTGAAACCACACAATAAAAACCCAAAAAAAAAAACCAAGACAATCAGCCCTACCCTATACACGTGATGCTTCTTCCTGAACTCCACGTCAAGCTTATGCACGTGACACCAGTACGTCGTTTCGTCCGCCGGTACTTTAACCCTCTCAGCCAGAATGTCCTTACTCTGAACATACCCCGGCAAACTCGCCTCCACGTTAGTATTCTTCAACAACTGCACCCTCACCATCCCTTTATCTTCCCCAGGTGAACTTATATTCAGACCCGTGGGTTTATACAAAGGGTCGGCACTTCGTGCCCACACCACATGCGTGGTCCCATCTTCTATAACATAATCCTCAAAGTCGCAAGTGTCGAATTTCCTCTGGAACGTGAACTTCGTGGTATTGCGGACCCTCTTCACCCTAAATCTTCCACAATCCTGTTGCCTATCCAGATGGATCATCCCTCCAGTGTCGGCCCACACATCCTCGAAATGAACCCTACTCTTCATGTCCTTCCACAACAAGCAGTAATCCGCCGGAAAGTGCTCCCCATGGTCGGAAAACCCCACCGCGAACCACCCATAACTCGCCGGAATGTGTATTTCAAAAGTTACCATTTCATTGGGGTAATCCAGGAGCCAGTTGAACGAAATCGACCCATCTGCGTTCAAAGGAACGTGGAAGATCTGGTCGCGTTTGGTTTGAGTGGTGGGTTTTGCGGTGATTATGAGGATGGTTGCGAGGACTCTGTACATGTTGAACAACTAAGAGAATTCTTGGATTTTCCGCTTATAAAGGGGGAGGTTGCGCAACGGCGGCGCGGCCGGAGGCGGCGATCCGCTTGATTAATCGGTTTGGGGCTAATTTGGGGTGGTTTAATCAACGAGCTAGTTAAGGTTAATTGTTTATTTTTTAACTTGAGGGGTGTGTTTTTTTCAAACATTAATACTATAGTGTTAATAATGATGCAGGGATGGCCGAATTTGGCGGAAGTGAGGAATGCAATTTAGCCACCGTCACGCGATGTTCTTATCATTCAATACGAAGAGGAATTTGTCTGGTGGAATAAATTTGAGTTCCTTGGATTCTTCTAGATATAAGTTCGACCCGGTTAGGATAATGGCCATTCAGGGAGGGGAAAAAGGGCGGTTTTTCTGTGAATCGGGTGAATGGAGATGTTCATAAAGAGAATTGGTGCAAACTTATTGTCTGAATTAATTTTAAAATCGATCAAGTCGAGCAATAATTTCTTTGTGTTTCTAGGTTTTAAGGTTTAATGAAATTTGGTTGAAAGCTGCATAATAGATACATTTTAGTTTTTTTTTTGAGGATTTAAAAGAATCCACGGAACTTTTTTAGTGTTTTTGATGTAAAAGAATGTTGAAGGTCTTGTTATTTTTTTTTTAATTAAAATTTAAAAAATCTCGGAGGGCTGTGGTGTTTTGTTTTTGGAAGAATTTAAACATGTTTTAACTTTCATGTTGTGAAAAGAAGTCTACACACATTAAAACAAAAAGGCAAAATGTAGGCCCGCCCACCCGCCCGATCTTTATTGTGATAATTTTTTTTATTCGCCGACACCCAAGAGGGCGGAGTTTAACTGCAAAGTACTTATTTCTTTACAACAAATTAAAAATATGTTTTTGGGTATCGTGTGTTCAAAAAATACTATGTACATTAAGAAAAAAAAGGATAGGCTCCACCCCTAGGTCTACCAATGAATGAAAACTTCATTACTATTTAGATCAGGGCAGGTGTAGGTGGGGCTTAATCTTTGACTTTAATTTTTTCTTAATATACATAGTATTCTCTAAATAACCGATACTCAATGTTTTTAATTTCTCGTATAGAAATACGTATTTTGCAGTTAAGCTCCACCTTCTTGGCTCACGACGAATAAAAAAATCATCAGAATTGAGATAGGGTGGGTGGGCGCTGCTTATATTTTGCATTTTTTTAGTCTTAATATACATAGCCATCTTTTCACAAGAAGAAACTTAGAACATGGTTTTTTTGCAAGGAAATATGGAATTTGCAATTATGGGGCGGAGCCAAATTGCAAAATCGTTATTTCCCTAGACAAATTTTAAAGATGTTTTAAGTTTCATGTTGTGGTAAGAAGTCTACACATATTAAAACAAAAAGGCAAAATGTAAGCCCACCCACCCACCCTATCTCCATTGTGATGATTTTTTTTTATTCGGCGTGAACCAAGGGGGCGGAGCTTAACTGCAAAATATTTATCCCTTCACAAGAGATTAAAAACATGTTTTTGAGTATCGTGTTGTTCAAAGAATATTATGTATATTAAGAAAAAAGGGCAAAATGTAGCCCCGCCCACCCACCCCATCTCAATTGTGATGATTTTTTATTCGCCGAGAACCAAAGGGGCGAAGCTTAACTGCAAAATATTTATTTCTATACAAAAAATTAAAAACATATTTTTCAGTATCGTGTTGTTCAAAGAATACCATGTATGTATTAAAAAAAGCAAAATATAAACCCCACCCACCCACCCCGTCTCAATTGTGATGATTTCTTTTATTCTTAGAAACTTAAAGTACGTTTAAAATGGTAAATTCTTGTAAGAAAATATGGATCTTGCAATTAACTCCGCCCCTCTATCTGACAACGAATGAAAAATTCATCACAATTGAGATAGGGTGGGTGGGCGGGGCTTACATTTTGCCTTTTTTTCTTAATATACATAGCCATCTTTTCACAACAAGAAACTTAGAACATGGTTAAAATGGTACATTTTTGCAAGGAAATATGGATTTTGCAATTAAGCTCCACCGCTCAGCTTACAACGAATAAAAAAAATCATCAGAATTGAGATAGGGCGGGTGGGCGGGGCTTATATTTTTCATTTTTTTATTTTTATTATACATAGCCATCTTTTTATAATAAGAAACTTAGAACATCTTTAAAATGGTACTTTTTGCAAGGAAATATGGATTTTGCCATTATGGGGCCGAAGCTAATTGCAAAATCGATATTTCCGCATACAAATTTTAAAATGTTTTAGGTTTCATGTTGTAGTAGGAAGTCTACATATATTAAAACAAAAAGGCAAAATGTAAGCCCGCCCACCCACCCTATCTCCATTGTGATGATCTTTATTTATTCGCTGTGAACCAAGGGGGCGGAGCATAACTGCAAAATATTTATCTCTTTACAAGAAATTAAAAACATGATTTAGAGTATCGTGTTGTTCAAAGAATACTAGGTATATTAAGAAAAAAAGGTAAAATATAAACCCCGCCCACCCACCCAATCTCTATTGTGATGTTTTTTTTTATTCTTAGAAACTTGAAGCACGTTCAAAATGGAAATAGGGATTTTGCAATAAGGCTCCGCCTCTAAGTCTACCAATGAATGAAAACTTCATTACTATTTAGATCAGGGCAGGTGTGGGTGGGGCTTAACTTTGGCTTTAATTATTTTTTTTTAATATACATTGTATTCTTTTAGTAACACGATACTCAAAAACAAATTTTTAATTTCTCGTAGAGAAATAAGGATTTTGCAGTTAAGCTCCACCTTCTTGACTCACGGCGAATAAAAAAAATCATCACAATTGAGACAGGGTGGGTGGGCGGGGCTTATATTTTGCCCCTTTTTCTTAATATGTGTAGGCATCTTTTCACAACAAAAAACTTAAAACATGTTTAAAATGGTAAATTCTTGTAGACAAATAAGGATCTTGCAATTAAGCCCCGCCCTAAAACTGACAACGAATGAAAAATTCGTCGCAATTGAGAATTGAGATTGGGGCGGGTATGGGTGGGGTTTAATCTTTGCCTTTATTTTTTTCTTAATATACATGGCATTTGTTGAACGACACGATACTCAAAAACATGATTTTAATTTCATGTAGAGAAATAAGGATTTTGCAGTTAAGCTCCGCCTTTTTACCTCACAACCAATAAAAAAAATCATCCCAATAGAGATAGGGTGGGTGGGTGGGGCTACATTTTGTCTTTCTTTCTTAATATGTGTAGTCATCTTTTCACAACAAGAAACTTAAAACATGGTTAAAATGGTACATTTTTGCGAGGAAATATGGATTTTGCAATTATGGGGCGGAGTCTAATTGCAAAATAGATATTTCCCTATACAAAATTTTCTTTTAAACATGTTTTAAGTTTCATGTTGTGGAAAGAAGTCTTTTTAAGTTTCTCAATTTTTAATTTTCCCGATTTTTACTTTTCATTTCCCGACTTTATATAACATCTCCGATGTTTTAAATTTTTGTGTTGGAAGAACTTTCAACCGCTAAAATAAAAAATTTAAAAATTGGAAATTTGGAAAATTGAGAAATACTTAGAAAAATCGAGAATTTGGAAAATTGAAAAATTCCGAAACTGAAATGTCGAAAAATGAAAAAATCGAAACTTTGAAACATCGATAAATCGGAAAATCGAAATTCTAAAATTTAAAAAGAAGTCGAAAAATCAAGAAGTTGAAAATCCCAAAAATTGAAGAATCGAAAAATTGATAAATGCCAAAATTGAAATATGGAAAAATTAGAAATAATGCGTAAATTGACGAATCGAAAAGTCGAAAAACGCAGATATCCAAAAATCGAAGAATCGAAAATAAAGAATTTAAAAAAATCTCAAAACTGAAACATCGAAATATCGAGAAAACTAAAAATTTAATAATCGAAAATTCGAAAAATCGAGAAATCGAAAAATCCAAAAGTCGAATAGTCAGAAGTCGAAACATCGAGACCTCGAAAAATCCTCAACTCGGAAACAGAAAAATTAAAAGCCACGAAACTAAAAAATCGAAAAATTGAAAAACCAAAGAATCGAAGAAATTGTGAAATATCGAAAATTTGCAAAGAAATGAAAAATCCTGAAAATTCCAAACATTGGAAAATGAAAATATTGTAGACTCGGAAAACTGAACAATTAAAAATCGTGAAATTTAAAAACCGAGAAAATGAAAAAAAAGAGAAATCGTAAAATCAAAAATTCTTAAATTCGAAAATTTGAAAAATGCAATTCGAAGAAACAAAAAAACTGAGAAAATCCAAAAATTGCATTACCCTAAAATTGTAAAATAAATTGAAAAACTAAAGATGGAAGAAACTGAAAAGTCGAAAATTTCTAATCGAAAAATTCAAGAGTCAAAAAATTGAAAAATCGAATAATTGAGGTAACCAAAAATCGAAAATCGAATCAATTTCACTGGAGAAAAATCGAGAAAGTGAAAAATTAAAACCCAAAAAATTTCTAAAATTTGCAGAAGATTGAAAAATACAAAAATTGAAAACTGAAAAAATTTTAAAATCGAAAAATTAAGAAATTGAAAAATTATAGTAAACGAAAAATGGACAAAATCTAAAAATCTTCAAACCATAAAATCGTAAAATCAAAAAATTGAAAAAACGAATCATAAAATCGAAAAACATGATATCGAATCTATCGTTCATTCGTTTTTATAATTTTTCGTTACTCAATTTTTCAAATTTTCAGTCTTTGATTTTTCACTTCCCAGATTTTTTAATTTTCAATATTTCAATTTTACAATACGTATTTCTTTCGGTTTTTCGATTTTGGACTTTTTCGATTTTGAAGTTTTTCAATTTTTCAATTTTTCGTTTCTCAATTTTTTCAATTTTCAGGTTTTCTTTTTTCTTTTTTTATTTTGGATTTTTCAGTTTTACAATTTTGAATTTTTTCCAAAAGTTGAAAAATCTAAATGTTGCTAAATCATAAAAGTGGAAAATCGAAAAATTGCACAT